GCCTCTTGGCGGCGCCCATTCGGGGGGTGGCGCGAGGGGGGCGGTTTCCTACGGTGGGGGCACTGGATCAGGAGCTGGTGGCACCCCGCCAGAGATCCAGCGCATTGAAAAGATCAAGGCACAAGTTTTTCGCATTTTTCGTCCTCGAGGGGCCCTCGCCCGGCCTCGGGACCGTCAAGAAACAACCCAGGATGGAAAACCGGTCCTGGGGAATGGGTCGAGACTTCCAGGGACCCCGCATTGAAAAAACATGATCGACCCACGAACCCGGAAGGAATATATAACTGTAGCACGTGGCAGCGTTTTCAAAGACACCTGATTGGGTGACGGGCAATTGCAATGCTGAGCGTATCGATCTTGATGTACCCTGCCGAGGGCTGTGCTGTGCTGCACCGTGCTGAATTGCGATGTGCCATGCCGCGAATGTGCTCTATAGCCTCGTGGATCGAGTCCTCCTTTGCATCCGAGTCCTGACCGAACTGATCTGGATCTTAAGCTCGAGCTGCCTGAACACAGTAGCTGCCCCAGAGCTGATGGACAGGGGGCATGCAGGAGGACGCCGCGAAAACGTCCCAAGGGACGCGCCAAGGACGTGCCAGGGGACGTGCCATGGGGTCGCACCGCGGGACGTGCCAAGGGGACGCGCTACGGAACGCGCCAATGGATGTGCCACGGGATGTGCCAGGGGACGCGCCACGCGACGTGCCAGGGAGACTCGCCAAGGGACGCGCCACGGAACGTGCCAAGGAACGTGCCAAGTTGCAATGCTGAAAGTATCGATCTTGATATACCGTGCCGAAATCCGCCGATCCGGCGTGTGAGTTACAAGGAGTCTCAGCTACAGCCTCGAGGCTGAGCCTCAGCCTCCGGGGGGGTTGCCGGGGTGGCTCTGCCGGGGAAGGGGGGGTGGGGGGGGGGGGGGGGGGGCGAGTTTCCGGCGGACGCGTTTTTTGACACCCCTCACAGGGATCGTGGCCTCCGAGGGGGGTCCGAACTCGAGTGCCACCCCTCCCGCACCAAGAGGCTCCGAAGAAGCCTCCAAGAGGCCCCAAGGGGCCCAGAAGAGGCCCCCAAGAAGCCCCAAGAGCCTTTTTTTTTTGGTTACTCCCCCAAGATTCCAGCGGTTCCCGCCACGAGGCCCGTTCGCCGCAGACGGCGGCACGCCTCAGGCCTGACTGGCCTGGTCCAGCTGGTCCTCCAGCTCGAACACGAACTTTGGCTGGCCCTCCAACCTCATCTGCACCAGCATGTTCACCATGCTCACATAGTGAAGCTGGCGCGCCCCCATGTGGAGCTCGCTCTCAAGCCCCACGCCGCACAGGCAGGACTGTCCCCTGCTCCAGCGGCTTGCCGTTCTGTGGATTCTTCCCAGCCAGAATCCTGTCCCGCTTCTTCCTCTTTGCGTCATCCTTCGTGGAACGCCCACGGGGGGCTAGCGGACCTGGGCATGCCACGCCCAAGCCCGCCCGTCGCCTCGCCGAGTGTGCCCCGCACACCACACACACGACGCACGGACCATGAACTTCAACACGATAAACCCTGTCCTGCTCCTCAGGCTCTGCGCGTTCTTCGTGTTGTTCCTCTGGGCGTGCTGCTGCTGCTGCTGCTGCAGCTGCCGCCGCGATGGCCACGCTGGCTTCCAGCGACCTGCCTGTTCCCGAGCTGCTCGAACCTGTCGCCTGCCACCGTGGTCGTACGCATTCCGCTTGCCACAGCTTTATGCGCATCCTCTTGGACGCCGCACGCATGCCACACCTCATGCACACCTGCCACCCGTCCGTCTCCACGATATCGTGCTCGGTCAGGGTAAGCAACGGCTTCGGCACTCTTCGTCTTGGTACTCCTTTTTTCCTTGGGCGGCACGTCTGGCCACGCACCGCCCATCTTTTGGTACCACCACCCTATATTCTGCAGCGCCCAGCGCACACGTCCCGCAAGGTCCTCAAGCGCCTGGTGCTTGCCGTAGTACGCGTCCTGCTCCGCGCGCCTTCGCCAGCAAGTCAACCTCACTGTTGCCCTTCGCAATCTTCAGGTTGTCGCCCTCGAGCTGCTGGATCCTGGCCTTGGACCTGTGGGCCTTCACGTGCTTCACGCATTGTATATCCAGGTCCAGGTCCTTCACCTTGTGCCAGATCCTTCGCCATAGATCCGCATGTGGTCGCTTCCAGCTCGTGCACCACCGCTCACCCTTCTGCAAGCCCTCCAAGATGCTCTTGTGGTCTGTGTACACACGACCAGGCGGCAGCATCCGCTCCAGCACCTTGAGAAAAGTCCACATCTCTGCTCTCTTAACCCTCCTGTGGATCGGCAGCGTACACGGTAACGGGCCCCACATCTGCATCTTCGCCGTGCCATTGTCGGTGAGCGGCATAGCTGCCCAGCCCGTCTGCGCCCAGTCGCTGTACCCGAGCTTTGAGCCATCACAGACAATGCCGCCTGCGAGATAGTCCTCATCAGCGTCGGCCACCTGCTCGTAGTACTGGTCCTCCGCAATGCCAACGAACTTCCAGTCCGCCTCTGGAGACCTCACCAGCCCACGCGTCCACAGCATGTTGGTGTCCTGCTGCTCCGCTACGTGCTGCCAGTCCGCCTGCGCCTGCAAACGCTGGTCCCTGAGCGCGTTGCACTTGTAGTACCGATGGTGCTCGGTGCCCACCGCCTCACCGCAAGCCATGCAGATGTCCGTGGGCACGATATTGCATTTGCAGAGCTTCTCCATTGTCCACGCGCCTCCGATGAAGATCTTCTTCGCTGCATTCTTCGCATGCTTCGGGAACTCACGTGCTCGCAACTGCGCCACCGCTGGAGCCACCAAAGGCATTGGGCTCAGGCTCTTGAGCTCCTCCGCCTGCGTCCACTCCTCCCAGAGGGTCGCCTGCACGTCCTTGCGCACCATCGCTGCGATGTCCATAGGGCACACCTCCTGCATATTCAGCTCGAAGCCCTCCTTCGAGACGAACGTATGCCACGCAGGCCACGCCCACGTGGCCCTCCTCATTGACATGATGACAGCACCTGCTGGCCCCCGCACTCGGGTCCACGCCGGCTTCATGCCGACCTCCTGCTGCTGCCGTCTCCATGCCTGCTGCAACATGGTGCCCATGCTGTCCCACTGACCTCCTCCATCCCCGTCTTGTGCACTATGCCACACTGCTCGCGCCCACCTTACGATCGGCGCCTCGGTGACCTCGTACGTTGGCTCCTCCTGCGCAACCGCCAGCTGAAGGGTGAGGCTTCGGGCTCCACGACCACCTGGTAGTAATCGTCCTGCCTCACGTCGTAGCTGTCGAAGCTGATGGTCTGGCATGCCTAAGCGCTTACATCCGTACAAGACCGAGCGCTTTAAACCACACTTGAACACCATGCCAACGCCCCTGGTCATCTTGCGCCCGCCCTTCAAAGTGAGCAGCCTCCGACTCCTGGCCCTCATAATAGCATGCCTCTTGCCGTTCTTGGCCATCGCCGCCGTACCGTGCGTGACGATGTCAACCCCCAAGTACGGGCAGGCCCTCACCACTGGCAGTCCTCGCTCGCGCATCGGCCCTGTCACGGCCTTTCGCGCCCACTTAGTGCTCGCCATTACAGCGCCTTTACCCTTGCTGCCCACCGAGAACTTCAGGCCTATCTTCTCGAAGCCTCGGAAGCAACTGTCGATTGTCTCTCCGAACTCCGTAACTATGCACTGGTGCTGCTGTCGTAACCACACGCACAAGTCGTCCACATACATTCTCCAGCGCGCCCTCGGTCTCTCCACCACCAGGCCGTCCACCGTGGACTGGATGACCATCTTCAAGAAGCACACTGGGAACTTGCTGCCCACGACGACGGTGGCCACCGTCTGGGTCTCGCTGGACACCGAGTCACCCACAATGAGGCGCCTGGTCATGGCGAAATAGGAGCACACCACTGCCAGCACCCCCGTGTTGAAGTTGAGCTGCTTGCCTGCTTCCCACAACACGTGCAAGCTGACCTTCTCAAATGCCTTCACCAAGTCCAAGACCGCCGTGATCGTAGCCTGCGTCTCCTCGCTCTGCTCCTCCGCGTCGTCCATTTCGTGGCTGAGCAACACCTCCCAGGCCGCGTCCTCTGCCGCCTTGCCGTAGCTCGTGCAGCCCCAGCTCCTGTAGTTCTGTTTGGCCCACTTGACCATGTACGGCTCCCGCATAATTTCCCACACCCTGATGGCTGTGGGCAGCAAACCGATAACCCTATCCGCGGTGAAGGTCTTCGGGATCATGAAGAACAACACGGTGCCCATGTGGATGGGCCAGCACAGGGTCCGTTCTACCTCCATGTAGAAGTCCAACAACTTGTCGTAGGCTTCATCCGACGCACCCTGCAGCATGGAGGGATGCCACCTGTCGACACCTACCCCCGTCTTCTTCCTGAAGGGGCGGGCAACCTCCTTGAGCGTGTCCACGTCTTGTCCCGTGAAAGGCTCGAGCTTGTCACGCTCTTCGCACTCCCACGGTCTAACCTCATCCTGGATCTGCTCGCCGACCCTCCAGACCTCTTTCCACTCCCTGAGGGTGTACTCCGCCGCCTCGATTGAGTAACTACCAAGCAATCGGGACCGAACCCACCGCGTCCCCCGGCGGTGGTCAGAGTTGGCTGCATCATGTGTCACGGTGTTGCTGTCCTGTAATGCTTTCGGCCGGCACACAGATTTACGCTTTCGTCGCGCAGCGATGCAACAAATGCTGCGTTTTGTTGCGCGTCTGGCAATTGCGTACCCAATTATTTGCGATTAGCGCGCCTCCCGCACACTTGTGGTGAAGTCGGTTTTGCGGAATGTCTGCAGCGCCGCGCGTGTGTCGCCCAAGGTCGGGGCTGACGGTGAAGGCACGTCTCACGCTAGGTTCAAAAGGGTTCGCGCTGCAAGGTTGGCACGACTGACATTACCGGTCGTCCAAACGCAAGACTCGTCTTCTTTCAGGGCGCAGTTCCACGCATTCATAGAAAAGCGCCACGACGAGCCCCACACAGACTCACATACTTAT